GGAACTCTGTGGGGCTCTTTTACTAGCTAAGTTGGTTGAAAAACTAAAATCCATATTAATTAGCAAACAACTACAAATCTACTGCTGGAGTGATTCAAAAGTGGTCCTGGCGTGGTTACAGGGCAACGTACAACGATGGGAACGCTACATCGCTAACAGAGTGACGCAGATAAATAACATTATTCCGTCATCACAGTGGCGCTACGTAAAATCGGAAGAAAACCCGGCAGACTGTGCCACTCGAGGTCTCACACCATCACAACTTTTAACATTCAACTTATGGTGGGAGGGACCACAATGGCTAAAAACTGAAAACTTAGAAAAAGACGAATGTAAACAAACCTACACTACTAGACAGATACAGCGACTTGAAACGTGTAACACGAGTACTAGCGTGGATAGTGCGAGCTGGGCAAATATTTCGCAATTATAAAATGAGTAAGGCTATTAATAACTTAACCGACCACGACGCTGAAAAAAGAGTGCAACAATGTAGCTCTACAAGCAACAAAGGTACAACGTACCTAACTTAACAAACTTTCTCCACGAGACAACAAAAAACAACGAACTTAACAATTCTACGAAACAACGAACTACAACTTACTTTACAACTCAACAAGTCAAGAAAACTACAACTCAACAATGTAGCTCTACAAGCAACAAAGGTACAACGTACCTGACTTAACAAAACTTCTATACGAGACAACAAACTACAATTTAATACAAACTATAACTTAACAATGCTGCTCTATGAGGCAACAAGGTACAACGTACCTAACTCAACAAAACTTCTCTATGACACAACAAAACTACAAACTACAATTTCCTAACGCTGCTCTACGAGCCAACGAAAGTACAACGTACTTAACAAAATGAACTACAAGCTAACCTACAAACGACGAAGAAGACAGCACAAATACCTACACCACAAAAAATCAATACAGGAGAAGGAAAAACTATATACAGTTTATTCACTATACTACTTGTGATGTTAACTGTCAACGTGAAAACTACAAAATCATCTCAACTAGATAACTACAAACTAATGAACATTGAAAACAAACATCCGATATACTTCGATGAAGCTGGAAAGATACAACTTATACACGACGAGTGGAATCTCTTAATCTACTACAATCTGACCTCCTACTGGCAAGCTGAAAACAAACTTAAAAACTACGTGGAACAAATTGACAACATTTGTCAAAAAATAACTTACACACCGTGCGACACCATGGTCAGTCATTTACGAGAAGAACTGCGTCATCTCTCCAAACGTGACAGTCTTTTGCTGTCCCAACACCTGACACGGCATAAACGAGGTTACTTCGATGGCGTAGGAAAACTAGCACGAACACTTTTTGGCGTTCTGGACGAGGATTTCGCTAAAAAATATGAAAAGGACATCGAAGCCTTGACCAAAAATGACAACTACTTACTTCAACTCATGAAAAACCAAACTCTGATAATTGAAGCAGAAAACAATATTGTCAAGAAGAGTCAAGACTTTATGGAAGATCAATTTAGCATCATACATGACTACATGAACAAAACGTATAACGAAATTCAAAAGATTGAAAACCGCGTGCAAATGTTGTATGCGGTGAACGATGTTAACTCGGCCGTTATAACTACGACATTAATATTGAGCGCATTGCAACGAATACAAGAAACGCTGTTAAACGCATTGTCAGATATCTATAAAGGTCATTTAGACACGCACGTGTTTCCAACATCGCAATTAATAGATCAACTGAACATCATATCCGGAAAACTTCCGATGGGACTATCTCTACCAATTAAAGATACACATCAAGATATACAAGACATATACCAACTTATCTATGTGAAGGCTCGAGTTACAGAAAATTATTTGATGTTTGAACTTCATATTCCACTACTCAGTGAAGAAGAATATAAAATATACAGAATTATACCTATACCGTTCATGAGGCAAGGAAGCTTAAAACTAATACGCCCATCTTCGCAGTACATTGCTATCAACTTTGTGAAAAACTCATACATAACTATGGACGAAAATAAAATGCAGCAATGCATTGCATACAGCAAAGAACAATATATTTGCGTGGCAAACCAACCTGTTTATAACATACACGACAAAAATGCGCCATGCGAAGCAAACGTATTCAATCAACAAACGTCACACTCATGTGTCATCGATGACGTAGAATGCAAAGAGACGTGGACAAAACTGCATAGACCGAACATATGGTTATTTACGTTATGCAACAAACAACTGATACGAGTCATATGCGAGGATCAAGTTACGTCCGTGGCCTTGTTAGGGACCGGACTTATATCTCTGAAGCCAAAGTGCATTCTACAAAAAACAGATCCAACTATTTACGCATTTAACCACTTTGGTAATCAAATACAGATGGGAGTGGATATAAATGTACCTACTATAAACTCCTCAATTAACAACTTGTTCAACTTCAACTGGAACAATGCTGAGTTAAATGTGACCACACTCAAACCTGCACCTACCTTGGACTTCAATAAAATAGAACAGCAACTAACGTACCAGAAAGAACACGAGAAGTTACCTATGACGTCACATTTATCTGTTCATGACGTTTACTTGTACTCAGTCACTACTTTGTTGCTGGGAGGAATATTTGCAGTAGCCCTCTCAGTTTATATAAGAAAAAGATGTATGAAAAGAAAAGACAGTACCTCTTCGTCCAGAAACTACACTAGACCTATCAAGACCACGGAACCAGATATCGAGTTGCAAGAAATACGCAATCCGACACCAGATGAACCAGTTTATAGCGAAGTGAAGACGAAACGAACGGCATTTCGTTTTGACTAATAACTTTTAATATTATTATATTTTTTGCTATGTGCTGGATGCTCATATGACTGAAACTTTTACCTTTTTTACTTACTTATACAATTGCTTTATTTTTACTTACTTATACAATTGCTTTATTTTTACTTACTTATACACTTACTTTATCTTTACTTATACCTAAACACTTTCACTACTTACTTTTCACCTTTCCCTCGGGAGCATGTACGGGTCACGTACAAGATTTAGACGCTGAGTTTGCGCTCTACTTTACGTGAATCGACTGATTCACATTTTATTATAATTTAGTTGATTTAATAACTCTGTCGCAATCGGTCACATAAGCATCCATATAATAACTTGTATTTAAACAAAAATAAAACTTTACGATTGTACGTCAACTCTATAACTTAACTAACTACAAACTACAACTAACTTAACTACCTACAATCAAGACGTCAAAGCCCATACAGTATGGTCATTGAATTGTAGCAAATTAATGTCACCCTTATAGGAATCATTGGAGAGAGTGTGTGATATAGTTTTCCAAGTCGCTCTGCATTTGTTGGTATTGCTTCTTATGTATTTAGTATTACTGATTCGTTTTGATTTTAATATGCATTTATTAAGCAGTGTATTGTAGCTTCTTTAATGTAGTTTATTGTACAATTTATTTAATTTTTCTCTTGTATGTTTGATTTGTAATGCTCGTTTTGTTTTACATGACTTTTTAAACCTTTAGTGAGCCAACGCAACCTCGTGAGATGATTAGTTACTTTAACTATTACGATTGGAAAATATAAATTATACAATAAAGAAAACAAATCGTAAATACCATCAAACGCGGTTGTCGTCCTATCTGAATTTACGACTTCAAAAAACGAAAGAGAGCGTATGTAGTTACAAAACTTTTTAATGTTTTCCGGGTTATAGTCGCGTCTGTATTCATGCCACATGTTATAAACTTTTTGTTTCTTGACTTTTACACTTAAGGTTTGCGCAGCTTCGTGATCTGAGAGACCTAGGTGATGAATTTCAGCATTTGCGGTTTTGATGTTGCTAGCTATTTGGTCATTTACGAGTTTAGTCGTGTTGGAGTATGTATGGGCGCTAAAATTATAGTTCTGTAGGGTACTAAGAAGATCTTTGGCTGCTAAATTTTGTTTCAAATTATCGATGTTCCGATCACCGCATATAACTATTGTTTTAACAAAAAACACGACGCAAGCACATAGAAAAAATTCGTGAGGTCCGCTGGTTCGTTCCGTGGATTAGTTGGCATAGGGTATGGCACGGAATGCTAGAAGACGTCGGCTCGTATCCAGCCGGATAGAAAGAATTTTTTCTGAGTGTTCGATCTATGTATTAATAATTTTAACCTCACTCAATCGAGGCTCTGCAGTGACGGAACACTCATTGGATTCGGGTTCGACGCACTATATTCGTTTTGATAAGTGTCCGTACTGGGGAGAGAAAAGCATTTCATTTGCTGAGAAAAGACTTTAATAAAAATAAAGCAAACGAGTAGGTACCCTCGTTGTTCGCCGGCGCCGCCTGCGCCCGCAGCCGCACTGAGCGATCGGGCTGCCGGGGCTTTGGAACACTTTCAGCCGATTTGGTTCGAAACATGACGAACAAGAATTCGACTTAAATACTTGAGTTATCCGTTAGTTCAGTTAATATCAAAAATAAACTTTGAAGGTAATCGAAACGCGCAAACGTCCTCCGCGACGAACAACACCCGCCACATTGCGTTTTACTTCGGATGCGTTTTAGGTATTTCTAGCGTTTTCTTTTGTTACCGCACAGAGTTACCACCTTTTACAATGTTTTTATTTTTGTACGAAAGTAAAATCTAGTGATTCATTAAAGGTCATGCAATAAAAGTCGTAGTTTCTGATGTTTTTAATTAAAAAAGTCCTACGAGGTTGTTAGGTAGTATTTTAAAAATAACTCTGAATAATTTAAATTAGCCACCACTGCCATGAACGGCAGTCGCCCGAGCACACGACTAGACTATAGTTTTAACTCCACTGAGAATACAGCTGCATAGCACTGATGACTCACTGCATTCTTAACGCGAACGTACTATAAATACTCGCAATTGACCTTGGAACTTTCTGGAAGCACTTGCATGTCGCGCTTAATTAAACAGACCTTACGCAAGTTCGCAACAAGTTGCAATACAGCTTAGAGAGCCGCCGGTGGCGCACGTGTGACATTGAAGAGAAATAAAAATACATTTTCGGTGTTCAGCGTTGAGTTAAGGTAAGAATACGTTTAATATTGCTGATTGGAATATTTATTTGTGTTCAATACCGTGATGTTCGCCTATTTTTGGGAAAATACTCCATTACTTTGTTATTGTCATTGTTACATATACCTTAGACCCGACTCTGGGCAGTCCAGTCGCGTCTAAGGAATTTTCCTTTGCGCTTGTTCGATAATTCCAATCAGAAACAAGTGCTGATTGGGTTCGAAGCGGAGTTAAAACTCGTGCGGTCATTGTGTCCTTTTACTGAGCAACGCTAATATCTGAAGAATATTTAGAATACAATAAATATAAACTTTCAAATACTATATTAAGTATGCTCATAGTAATAATTATGTTTATATTAAGACGTTCTCTTAGATGTTTTTGAAGCTGGTTAATCTTTTTTAAAACAAAAGCTTTGTTTACTATGGAGATAACCGGTTACTCTTTGCTGTCATCGATATATTATGTAATTTGAATATTTAGTAGGCTTTGAAATGTCTAGAATACGTGTAAATCTACTTATATGAATACCTATAAAATGTATAGAGCTGTTGTATAAGTAGATCTTACAAAAGTCATTCAGTACGACACGCTACTGAAGTACAGTGCTTCTATTTTCTCAATGTCCCTCGACAAACTTCGTGTTTCGGCTGTCGTCGGGTTTTATTCAGTTGCCCTTTACCTTTAGTACCGACCGGACGCTTTCAGTCGACTTGGAAGTGTATAGAGTTGCTATTACATTTTTTATTTATTATAAAATGGAGGAAAGCCGCCAAAATTACAGGCATGACAGATAATTTACAGCTTGTACTTGTATTTTTTACATGACCGTCACTAGATATTATAAAAAAATACAACAATGGTTATTTTCAAAAAGTCCAAAAACGTATTTTTGTAGCTTGTGGCGTTTCGATCGGAACAGTAAAGAATATTTTAAAAGAATGATAAAAAAAGATAAATCAGTTCCTTTTTAGTCACCGAAAAAGGTACGAAAGAACAATAAATTTCGTTTATTTTTAGACGATTTTGACTATATTGACAAGAAATAACATGATTGGAGCAAGAATCGAGTATATGATCCTGCAATAAAATGTGAAGATGAATATAGAAAATTTAAACCACTGTTTGAAACGTACACGGACAGTGATTATTCCATCGACGGCGAACGTACTAACCTATGCTATGTCAGATAAAGGAATGCGATCAGATACGGACTGAATGAAATTATTAATATCCGGAAAAATATTCATTTTATTAAAAGAAGCACGCTTTATGTACTTTATATTTTTGTTAATATGCTTATTGCCGTGGTGCAAATGTTATTATTATTAAAAATAGGGAAATAGTTTTACAGCTCTATATGTATACTTCACACGGAAATCAAAACAACAATAAAGTACGTTGTTCAAAATTCAAATTATTGTAGATTTTAAATCTAATAATTAATGGGCATGGAAATTAATATTCGTGTCCATTCGGAAATCCGATTATTGCCGAGGGATATTGAACAATATAATCAATGTAGCCGATTCTGACTTACTATACATGTAACCGGTGTGTGAAGATCTCTAAGACACACTCGGTCAAAGTAAAAAAGACTTCTGAAACAGAAGCGTAGGTCCCTCGTGTAACATAATGCATTGCACTCGTTTCGAAATCAATAGTTGATTAAATAACGTAGGTATAAAGTTCTGTCCCATAGGGAACTTCCTGAGTGCTTTTACGGAAATAAGTCGAAATCTAATTGTTTTCATTTCATTTTCAGGATACGTCCAAATGAATTCTTACCCAAGAGACGAGGAAGGGTATCCTGTACCAAGTCGAGGAAAGGAAATAGTTCGAGAACATATGGAGAGACGGTGATTTTTATTTTTAACCGACTTTAAAAAAGGAGGAGGTTCTCAATTCGACAGATTTTTTTGTAGTAGATATGTTACGCGATAATTTGTGAACCCATTTCGATGATTCTTTTTTATTGGAAAGAGGGTGCCTCTTTAGTGGTCCCATTTAAATTTGAAGAAAATATTCCACCTCTAAGGGTGGCAAACTAGGGGATGAATCCGGTTTAGTGCACTTTCCGGTAACCGATTCCAATAAAACTTGGCAAATAGATGTAATTGCACGAACTTTTGAGGTCGGTGTTTTCATACAAATTAAAAATTCAAACTAATTTTTTTCACATTTGGTCAGTTCGATTCCCAGGTGAGGCAACTTTTTAAAAATCATTAAATGCACTATTACATACAATTAAAAATAAAATAATTTCTTCAAGAAATATCCCATCTAAAATATTTAAAGTATTTTTTCTTCGTGTCATCATCATCATCATCGACCTATTGCAGTCCGCTGCTGGACGTAGGCCACTCCCAATGTACACCATCAATACGCCACCGTTATACTTTATCAATTATTTAAACATGTATATATCTCACAGATAGGTCGATGGATCTCTACCATAGACTTGGAATACGGAAGTGTGTTCTGCAAAGGGCATACCTACGGAGACAACCCTGCAGTTACGCACGCGGAGGAGTATCCCGTAACAATCCTGATTCTGCGTTATTATTGAATGTTGGAAATTGGTTTCCAGGTTCCCAGGACGGCGTTTCTCGATATATAAGACGTTACGCTGGCTGGAACATCCCCTCACAGGGCGCAATTTACATCTGAACTGCTACAACGAGGAGTTGCGACTCGCCGTTGAGTACTACGGCAGGCAGCACTATGAGTTCGTGCCGGACATGCACGAAAGATGGTCCGCCTTCAAGTACCAACAATATCGAGATGCGGTGAGTGTACTTTGTTCCCTATGGGGTGCCCCCGTTTGTGAGTGTGTGGCGAGGCGTCCATATAACTCGATTCCCACCAGCTTGCCTAAAATTTTCCGCGTACCTATTACCAGTGGCAGCGCATGGGCTGCGCGCATGCCTACCCCACCGCTTAAAAACATTTCGCACATGACAACTAACATAGTATTATCTCAAAATGGCTGTAAGTTATATTAATATTACTTTTAGTTTCAAAGCGACAGTGTTGTCCTGTCACTTTGAAATTAAATCGTATGTGAATGACACATCAATATCGCGAAATTTTGGAGATAAATTATTAATATAACGCAATTTTTGCAATAATACTATGTTAGTTGTCAAGTGCGATTTATTCAAAATATTCACTAGGTATGAAATGTGTACCTACTAACTTGTCCCGATGCATCTCAACCTATCAGCGCGAGGCGCGCCGGCGCCGGCGGCTCGGCGAGTTCTTTCTGCGAATCTGGCATTTTGCGAATCTAACATTCTGCCCGTTTGTCATTTTGCGTTTCTAGCATAAAACGTCGGCGTCAAAACGTCTATTTCATTCATGAAATCTACGCGCTCCCATCAAAATATACCCCAACATATATACAAATTTAAACCCTATTCCAACAAATTATAGTTTACTTTGTTTTAATTTCAGAATCGTTGCCATATGAACAACTTTCTTAAAATAATGTAACGAAATTAATATAGGTAATAGCAAATTAATACAAAATTATGGTTAATTTGTATTTTGTAAATCTTAACAATAAACGGTGTTACATGTTACGTATCCATATTTTATTGGGTGTTTATTTTTAATAGGACTACGTAAAGAACGTATGTAAAAGGTCATGGTAATTCGTAGGTAATTGAAATAGCAACACTTGGCATTCATTTGTTTGTAACTTTACAAACTTTCGTATCGCGACGGGCAGCTTCGAATGTACTTTAAAGCTGTGGTTATTTTATGTGTAGAATAAGTTAACCTGCGAAATTACGTGCACTAGTATCTTTTGTGTTAATGAGTGTTGTGTTGAAATGTCGCCAAGGCGCCTTTTAACGGGAAAACATTTTTTTGTTAAAGTAAGTGTTTTTTGTTTTTTTTTTTCAAAAAGTTAAAGCTTCAGCTTTACGAAAGAAAATTTTCACGCCTAGCCACTGTGATACACCTGCACTCGTTCTCGCCGCATACTCGCTACACTCGGGCGACTGTCCCAGAAACGAGACACGCATCCAGTATGAACCAGTGAAGTCCAGTTTTACAATATGTAACAAACCCCATGGGTTCATAAGTCTAATGAAATGAAAGGAAATTTTAAAACATGGTCTGAAAGATGGAACAATTTTTACAGAACACATGTTTTACCTGACCGGGCATGCAAAATGTTGCTTAAATTTAGTTTAATTATAGCATTGTCATCGGACGTGTACAAGGAATAATCAATAAATTAATTAATAACAACAGAATAATATGTCAATGTCAAATTATTTAATATCATACATCATTATTACATTAAATATACATATACATATATACATTATAATTTCATGTCGACATCCAATAATCAACAAAGAATTACGTACGTATTTACGTATTTTTTGTGTATGATATTTTTTCACACTGTTAAGTGCCTGTCCATAATTTGCAAGCAAATATTTAGCTCGTACTTTAGTAGGCGAAAGTTACTTTTTACTCCTGAATTTGTTATTTGTCGTTTATTTAAAACAAATAAAGTGTCAGGATCAAGATAAGTACCATTTAAATAACCACACCAAATTTGGTAGTAAGCAAGTTTGGTTTGCCCGAGAAAAATATGTCAAAAAATAACCACCAGAGTCTCACTGTAATCCGGTTTTTTGTATTACCTATGACAATAAGCAATATTCTAGGATTTTCAAGCTACACTTCAAGATACGTGTTACAGGTGTACTATTTTCAAAGTTCCACGTGCTATGTTATCGCCTAAAAACTTACACAAAAACACCATATTTAAGCGATTTTGGGCACCTCATCGCCTTAGTATAAAACTGCGGTGGCCCAACACACGTGTGTGTCCGGGAGTGCATACATATACATACCAACACTCGTATGTACATATAAACTTGTTGTGTTTGTTCGGTCTTCGTGTCAATATTAATTCACAAAGACATGTGAATAAAAATGGAAGTAAATTAATTTGAAAGACACTCTCTTCTCTCTCTTCGGCAGAGCGTCGAGCAGGCAAGAGCTCCTGGGGATGCCTCGTGGAGAGGCGAAACACGTGTCGGGTATATTTTTGGTGATGGTTTGTGACTATAGTTGCGCTTGTGTTATTAATTTTATGCGGAGGGAGGGTGGTATAATTAACTGCATGAAAAAATATTCAACACAAGCGCAGGTATTTTGCACGATTCAACCTTCACTGGGTTCGCGGAGTCGCAAATTAATTTACATCCATTTTTATTAACATGGACTTCCGCAAAGTAACGCCTGAATCTATTAATTGCTTAAAGACATGTGAATATCATTATACTTCTATATTTGAAATAAATACTTCATTATTATTCTGGATATCCATTTCAGGGTCTCGCCTCTCCCGTGGCCTAAAAGATTATTATTTAATAATATAATATTAATAATGGTATGGGGAGAGGCGAGAGTCTGACATAGATATCCATAATAATAATAATAATTTATTTAAGAAAAGAAAGTACATGTACAAGCTAATTGAACTACAGCAATTCAAAATGATTAAGATTGTACATACAATAAAAATCGTGTATAAGTTCGGGACTTGTATTAATTATAGTAATAATTATAACAATAAAATAAATATGTTTTTTAATTTCAGGTGAAGCAAGAACTGTGTGAGGAGAACAATGTACATCTGATTATTGTGAATAGTATGAAAGTAGGTCTTGACGAGATTTCTGATTACATTGACGGAGAACTGAAAAAAATTTCTGATAAGAAAGTCGATCCCGATGAGGAAATCGATTCTGATGAGGAAATCGATTCTGATGAGGAAGTCGATCCGGATGAGGAAATCGTATCTGACACAGATCCTGTAAACTAGTGGTTTCGCATGCAGCACAGGAGTTTTGCTGGTCGTCGCTTGCGCGTAGCATGCGTGTCGCGCGCGAGTGCGGGTCGCTTTATATTACTATTATTATTATTACATCTATTTTAGACTCTCGCCTCTCCCGAGGCCGAAAAGATTAATTATTATAATAATAATAATAAAAAGACTTTGTTATTTGTATTTTCGCACCTTCAAAAACAAATCTTTTGAAAGATGTTAAAGAAAGGCTTCAAAAATTGAGCGTAGCCTTAATCTGCTCATAGAACATCCCATACAAAAAGACAATTTTTTATGTTTGATAAAAATACCTTCTTAGTTTGTAATAAAACTTCATTAATTTTTTTGAGTACTTTATTGACCGTAGCAGCAGATTACAAAAAAAAACAGTTATTTTAATAAACGTCGCGGCGGTCTTGCTCGTGCGCGCCCGCCGCGCGCGCGTATTCGGACGCACACGTTCGCACAATCTAGCGATGCACTAGCGTTGCACAACACTAGTCGTCCCAACGCGCCTTTCATTATTATGCGAATGTGTGCGTCCGTACACGGTTGCGCACACATACAAGCCGCGCTGTTAATTGGTACGGGGTTACCCGTCTTGTTTTATTCTACTATTTATTACGGACCCTCGGGTCTACTCCCGTGCTCCGTCCGCGATCCATCCGAAACAACAATTACTGTCAAATAAGTAATACTCGGCCAAATGAAAAGACAGTGTCAAGTATGAAGCTTCAATCGCATCATGCGTAAAGACGCATGATGTGAATGAAGCTTCATAATTAAAAGTAATTAGGTTGAGTATTACTCATTGGATAATATTGTTTCGGACGGAGAACGAGAGTCCACCCCCTGATATGTAGCAATAAAGTGTAATAACTTTGTCGTTTTATTCCTGTACGCACCTGATTATAAAATTAAAAAGAAATACTATAAATCATTTAACAAACAAACCAATAAATGTCGAGTTCTGTTGTCGCGATTGTTGCACATGCACGTTTGATTGTTTGAAAAAACAAATATACGCAATTAAGATCTGAAAAAAGTTTCATTTCCTAAGCCAATAATAATATACATAAACATTAAACAAAATTAAAAATCAATAACTCCTTGCTACGATGCTCTTCCGCCGGCGACGTGAGACGAGAATTGAATAGCCTATTTGGCTCGCACGAGCTCTATGCATATTTCAATCGTCTCAGTATTCCGCACAGCCATCAAATATGTTTAGAACCCGCGATAAGCCACGCAAGATAGGTATACCACTGATAACATGTCCACTTCTAATCACAATCACCCTGTTGATAAACCAATCTCAGAAACAAGGCCACTATACCACTATGTTGCTCTTTTGCCAGCGGTATCAAACGTTTGTCAACCACTCACAAACCATGTGGTGGTAAATTCGATCCAGCGGCTCTGATACCTATGTGGTATCAAAAAAGAGGGTTCGAATTTGCCGCATGTGGTAACATCGCGACTCGAGAGGTAAAAGGGAACCTCAAAATAAATAACAAGGCACAAGTGTTGGGTCATACACAACACTAAAGAGATTCGCTTTGTTTAACACAAAATCCCCCGGAACACGAAATAATTTTTCCCGCTCACGCGATGCGCTCCTCCTATCGCAAAATGGCGGCTATTTGGTTTCGCAAATTAGAAAAGCACTCAGTTTAAATACAAGTTTTTATAAATAAAAACTATTATTCTGCATTGCGAAATAAATACCCTCCGTAATACCAACAAAAACATCTAAAATAAAATGCAGTAATACACCGCAAATCCTGCACTTAAAAAGCACTACTGAAATTTTTGGTGTACTTGGATAAATATGATAATATTCCGTTTGAGTGGTTCTAACGTTTACCATGAAATTACTACTTAAAGTATAGTTTATAAACATTTATATTCAGGGTAAACTTAAAAAACGCTACTTACGGCATGTTTTCAATAAACAAACACCGAAATCACCAGCCCAAACAATAACACACACGATTGTCGTGACGTATTTTTGAAGTTGTTTATTTTTTTTAAATGACAGACCCAGACATTAAAAACTTTATGGTTTGCTAGAGTAGTTACCGAAATAGCAATTAATATTAGTTCTTTTACCTGTTATAACTTCGATATCCGATAAATCGGTATAAAATCATCACCGGCACCTCTAGGTGTGGTATGCGTCTATGGCTGCATGTATCGCGCGAGCACACACACACGAGTTACACACGGGCCTATTTATAATTATAATTCGCAGAACTGGTTGTTTACTTGTTTTTTCACAGGTTCTGTTGCCTTAATGTAACATTGTACCTTAGCGGTGGCGGGTCTTCAGCGCAGGCCAATTTCACCACGTCGGGGTCACCGGTGTGCCATGGGCGTGGTGGTATAAGGAATAGTTTGTCGTTTTTGAAGATGGACTAAAATTACAGGTCATTGCAAAAGTGGTTTATGCAATAAATAACCGAACTTGTTTTATTTCAACCATCGTATACACCAAATTCAAAAATCGACCTGAACCAAAACGACCGAATTAGATATTCACACGCAAAAAGTCCTAAAATCGGCAACAAATCATCCACCTGTTCACTCCAGCCGCAGGGGGCGTGACGGACGAATAATACGAACGCGTTGCGAAGCTTATAAAATGCTTCACTTGTGTTAAGTAGCGTGATTAGTAACTACCACCGAACTCCCACCTAAGCCCGCAGCAACACGCAGCAATCTTGGTATTGGGATAAAACTATTGTCTAGTTTATTGTGAAATTCAGATTATAAGTACTATCATCTAATTTATTATATATGTGAACTAAAGTCTGATGATGATATTCGGTTTCAATTTTGAGAAAAATGACGCTTTGTGTTGGATTCTGCATTCGGGACACGCCACCATTTGAGATCTATTGATGAGATAGCACTTCACCCACCGCAAAAGATCCCCATGTATCCCTAGGACGTGGAGTTTTGATAAAAGAATATTATGATCAACGCGATCGAATGCCTTCTCGAAGTCCGTATATACCACATCGGTCTGACTTCTGGACTCCATACTCTCTCTTACAAATTTGGAAAATAGAGTCAAGTTCGTGATTGTAGATCTACCTTTCAAGAAGCCGTGCTGTTCGTGAGGGACGTTGCGGGCAATAAGTGGGTAGATAGCGCTGTACACAAGTTTTTCAAAGATTTTACTAAAGACGTTTAGAATAGATATTGGTCAATAATTTACTATTTTGGTCGAGAGGCCTTTTTTGTAAACTGGAACAATTCTTGCCACTTTCCATTTGTCAGGAAAAACACCTTCACTTGTAGATTTATTAAAAATCGAGGTCAAGGGGCTTGTCAAAGACTTGGCACATGTAACAATTGGAGGTATACTGTCATCCCCAGTGCCTTTGTTAGGGTCAATATTACGCAATAATTTAAACAGTTGCATTTTTTCCACATGCAGAGCAGTTATGCTATCCGCACTCGAGTTTTGAGGTGGTAATAGCTCTTTAAAGCTATAGTTATTGATTGTCTGATAGTTATGATAGTTATGATATGTCTATATGCAATGGTGGATGGTAAACGTCCACTTTGGATAAAGGATGTTCAACAATATTTACTTCGATACTGAAATTACCAAAAACTAAGTCGAGGACATTACCACTCGAGTTTCTAAAATTATTGTATTGCATAAGACCTTGTAATGTAAAGGTATTAACTAAGCTTCGACTCAATTCTCGGAGTTCCAATGATTCACCCTTTTGACAAAACGCATACTTATCGTTTTCCCATTGAATAAAGGGCAGGTTAAAATCGCCTGTTATGATGTATTTGTCAATATCCGCGTTTGAACTGCTATTGGGTAGGAGAACATTTTCTAAAAAATTTAATAAATTACGGATGTCATGAGGTTGGTTCACATTGTCACCACGAATGTAGCTCTCGCTGTAGTTATACGCTCTATTTTTTGTAGACTTTTGTTTTGATAAATAAGCGGAGTTTAGTGCATGGACACATCACATGGATCATTGCGGCTTTGGAGAAATATACAGTTGGCCCATAAACAGTTGCCTCCTTTGCCAACTGCCTCTGTGGCCGAACGGTTACCATACCGGACCGCCACGCAGAGGTCCCAGGTTCGATTCCCGGGCCGGGAGAAATATTTGCCCACATTTATTTCTCTCGTGACTTTGGGTGTAATGTGTGGTTGTCTATGTGTGTGTCCATGGCACCCGCGACACAGGGTTTCCCTAGTGCGGGGCTGTGTTGAGTGTGTGCGTTATTATTATTATTAGTTATTTTATATACATAATGTACATAATATGTTCCTCCCTGCCGCTGCCACACACACGTGCGCGTCTTTGCTTGCCGTGAGCTTCCCGGCATCGCAGTCTAAGACAGCATACGCTAAAAGTGTTGTGAAAAACGCAAGAAATAAAAATGTTACTTTAATTTGTTGAATAAAAGAGCTCGAAACTCGATCTTTAGCGACCGTAGAATGAATGATGAGAAGGCAAAAACGAGATTTTCTTCGAGGCTTACACCACCTTGTTCTCAGCCGCGCCTCAATTTATTTTAACTTACGTAGTTCTGGCAGTAGATCAGTTTCACGTAAACAACTTCAAGAATGATTCATTCTTACGATTAGTAATCTGACATACATTTTGATTGGGTATACAAATATATAATAATAATAATAAGGTTTATTGTTACAAAATAGTTACAACAAAGTAGTGAAGTCCCCGACGACTGAGCTAGGTATAACCTGCGTTACAGGAGTCAGTGTCCTCTCTCAAACATTTGACCTTACATTACCTATTTCTTAACAATTTTAATAGGTACATTATTAAATAAATTACATATTATATGTTTCACTGAGTGTGTGTGTGTGTGTGTGTGTGTGTGTGTGCCTGCGTTTGTGTGTGACAATATACATTCGCGCGTTGGTAGAATAGGGTCTACTTCATTGCATATATTATTACCTGCAAATACTCTATTTTTTCTCAGCTGCTACAATAAGGCTTCAGTTTTATGGTAATCTAAGGCTAATAGCCAGTTCTTAGTTTTAAGTTTAGCTTCACGAGCAGATAACGGATATATGTTTAAAGTTTTATTAATTTTATTATACAGGTACGGAGCCATAAATAGTAACTGACGTCTAGCCCAAGCCGTGCGACATTTAATGGATAAACACACACTAGGGTGCGGGTGCGCTTTTTGATGTAATTGTCTTTGCAGTACGGAGTGGAGTGTTTCTGTGCTTCTTGATTACTAGTTGCAAAACGTACAACTGTCTTACGCTCAGTACTTGGCGTTTGTCATACAACGATGTAGTAGGAAATCTGTACGGACTAAGGGTCGTATTAAAGAACTCTACTCAATGCTCAAGTCAGGATTTGATTTGAGTATGATTTCAAGCACTGGAAATTCGACTCTAAGGGCAAGGACTTGAGTATGATTTTCAGTGCTCACTATTGAGTCGAGTTCTGGAATACGACTCTAAGGGTCGTATTCCATAACTGTACTCAATGCTCAAGTCAGGACTTGAGTATTGCAGTGAGCACTGAAAATCATACTCAAGTCCTTGCCATTAGGGTCGTATTTCCAGTGCTTGAAATCATAAAGTCTGCTCAAATCCCGACTTGAGCATTGAGTACAGTTCTGGAATACGACCCTAAAAATGATAACTTTAAGTATGGATCTTTGTGCTCTTTCTAAAGTCAATAAATGAGCTTTGAAGGCACCACCCCAGACTGCAACACAGTAACTCATCACCGACTGCGCAAGGGCGTAGTATGTTGTACGCAGTATATTAGTTTTCTACAGCGTGACGTCGTGAGGTCTATGTGTGCACGCCGACTGAGTCTGTCGTCAAGCATCACTCCTAAATATGAAACATAACATAATAATATAAAACTATATGTGATATTTGTAATTGAAGATTATAAAAAAAAAATTATTTGAAAGCTCCTATCAATTCCAAAAGCGGTGACGTTCGGCGCGGTTCGCACAACACAAACGCACATTCCACTGCGGGCCACGGGTCGCTGCGATCGCGCCAAATAATTGAAATGACTAATGGCCGTTCGGG